TTTTGGGGGGAGTTTGGGGTTTTTTGGCTTTCTTTTTGTTTTCTTGGTTTTTTTACTTAATGGTCCCGCTGCTGAAGTTCTGGGCCACTTTGCCCCAGCTTTGATAAAAAGAAAGGAAGGAGAAGCCTCCTGGTAGGTTGGGTTTTTTGACGTGGTGGTGGGTCTCTGCTCCCCGCAGGACGAGCGCCCGAGGCTGGTGAAGCACTACCAGTATTTCAGCTGGCCAGACCACGGGGGGCCCAATGAACCAGGAGGGGTTCTGAGCTTTCTGGACCAAGTGAATCGGGCACAGAGAAGCATTCCGGACACGGGGCCGATCATCGTGCACTGCAGGTATGAGCCAGAGATAGCAGGTGATAAAAATCGGATGGGTGATAAAAATGTCTCTCTTCTTTTTTGTCACACCTGCAGCTGGGTCATTGTGTGAGCTAACGGGGGGCAATTAGGATATAAGGATACACTGGGGAAAATACAGCCCTCCTCCAGAGCATCCCTCGTGACCGCACAGGGGATGGCAGACCTGATCTGGAGCTGGACTCTGATCTCCTCAGGGTCAGCATTTGGCAGGGCTTATCTTAGAGCAGCCGTTCCAAACGTGCCCAGGATGGACCAGGCGTGCAGATGAGCGTGGGAGCTGAGCTGGCTAATTCTGGGGGATGTTTCCTCCTGCAATGATTTTTTTCTTTTTCTCTTTCCAGTGCTGGAATAGGGCGCACAGGCACCATCATAGTGATAGATATTCTGGTGGATATTATTCACCGGCAAGGTATGTCTCCCTGTCTCTCTCGTGGCTTTCCCTGGTTGCTTTGCTCTCGCCACTTCTGGGGTAACCCTGCCCTTGTGCAAGCCGTGGCGACGTGATCTCCAAGCACAGACACTGTTCAGCGAGATACTGAAAGCTTTCTTAAGTTAAGAAAATAATTTTTTTAACCTGATTTCTGCTCCCACTTGAGCAGGTTTGGACTGTGATATCGACATCCCCAAAACCATCCAGATGGTCCGGCGGCAGCGCTCGGGCATGGTGCAGACGGAGGCGCAGTACAAGTTCGTGTACATGGCCGTGCAGCAGTACATCGAGGCTGAGCAGAAAAGGCTGGAAGAGGAACAGGTGAGTCCCCTTTGGCTTGGCTGGAAAAACAGGGGCAGAACTTTACCTACACCAAACCCCACTTCCATCCCACCTTCTCCCTGGAACTCAAATACTGCCCTGAACGCGTGGAAATAAACCCACAGCCGCTGCTGGCATACGGGACCTTGTAAGGCTTTCTTCTCTACCAGCTTTGATGGGGGTTTTGCTATCTTTGCTTTCTCTTTCAGAGGAATAAAAGGAAGGAGCGAGACTACTTGAATATTGGCTACTCTCCGATGGAAAAAGGCAGAGCCAAGGGGCAGCCCCCATCGCCGCGAGCCCAGTCTGTGTAAGTGGAATGTCTCTCTAAGGGCTCAGAGCTTCTGCAGCGGTGGAGAACAGCTTGAGCGTAGGTCCTGGTATTTCTCCTTTGCCGGCAGCAGTGGAAGCAGCTCCCCTTGGCTGCGTGCGGCACTCCTGCATCGGTTTTGGAAAGACGAGGAGGTGACAGAACCCAGCCTTTAGGGAGCAGTGTCCCATGTCCTTGGCTCTGGAGAACATCTCTGGAGCATCTCTGCTGGAGGGTGGAACTGTGCTGCTGCTGCTAAGGGACTTTTACAGCAAAATCTGAAGGAAGATGAGAGGAGAGCAGAGGGAGGTGGATTTGCACCCATGTGCAGAGGGAGCAGGTGCTAAGTAGCAGGAGTTCCTTACATAAGCAGAGATAAAATGCCCCAAATTGTGGTTTTCCCTCTTGCCCTGAGAAATGGGGTAGCAGTGAGTGATGGAGAGGGGTAGGGACATACACCAGTTATAGAATACCAGAGCTTCTGGGCACCTTGAATTGCTGGATGGGTTTGGAAGAAGAGATGAGCCAGGCAGAAGCAGAGGTGTGGGTGTTTAAAGCGGAGGCAGAAATGCTGTTGCTGGGCTCGTCATGGGCTCAGAAGGAAAAATCCAACTGAAGAGAAGAGGGCAAAAGGGACTGAGCTGTGCAAGGCGAGCTCTACACGGCTGGTTTTGTCAGCTCCAGAGAGCCCCATGAGCTCAGCTTTGGGTGTCAAACCTGCCTTAGGGGTACTTGGGTCTGGCCTTTGGAGCAGCCCTCTCCTTCTGTTAGATTTTGGAAAATTAGAGAAATTGGGGATGAGTAAGAGGAGGAAATACCAGGAGCTGTATTCGCTGATCCTGCAGAAACTTTGCATCCGTGAAAGGCTGATGTGTGGAGGAAGGTTCAGGGCTCCATCCCCGAGCTGTATGTGAACCTAGAAGGGCTGGGGAGGGACACAGGGAGCGGGGCTGGGCATCGCCTGCTTCCTGCCGGCCACCCGCCCCTGGGAAAACATCCAGCGCAGGGAGGCTGTTCGTGACGAGGCTTTGTTTCTCGACAGGCTTGATGATGAGTTGTGTTTCTCGACAGGGTTGATGATGAGTCAGCTTCCGTCTATGAGAACCTGAACATCAAAAGCCCAAAGGTTTCAGGGATGAGTAATACGGGGCGATAAGGGCGCCGGAGGTGAGCCGTACGGAGGCTGTGCAGGTAGGAATGCTTCCCTTGACTAACCCAGCGTGTCACTGCTGGCTGGTGACGTTGCATTTGACTCAGCTCCGCTTCAGCCCCGTGTACGCAGACCTTCGGCTCTGCCTGCAGCAGGGAAGGCAGCTCTGCTTCGATTGCATTTGATGGAGCTGAAGGATGCGGCCATGGCCAGCTGCTGCTGGGAGAACTGGGAGGAACAGGGGAAACACATCGATGGCATTACCAGTGGTGGGTGGGGGGACATCTGCCTTTTGGAAGCCATCAGACTTGGAGAACAAGGCTGTGCCATGCCTGCAAACCAGTAGGAGAGGCTGCATACGCTGGGAGGGTCGCAGCTCTGTGACCTTATTGATGCGCTTCCATCCCCCGTTATAAACCACACTGTCCTTCTTTCCTTCTTGTTTTGGACTGCAGGATTTACAGTGTTTACGTCCTCCCTTTGCAAGTTCTGCAATCGCGGACAATTTGTTTTGCCCGTCTTGCCTTCCCCAAGCACCTTGGATTCAGCGAGGAACTCAGAAGCCGACTGGAAGAAGCAGAGTCTGCGCCTTAAGAACATGCCTTGACCTAACTTATTCACGAGAAGGATCTTCTCCCGTTCTCCCCTGTATCAGTAGGTTGATATTTATGTGGAAGTGCCTCTGGACTTTCTTTAGGGCATCAAGGCTCAGTTTTTTGTTTTTTGTTTTTTGTTTTTTTTAATTTAAGATTCTTATTTTTTACACACAAGTTGTTAAGAGGAATGGAAATGACTATTTGCTTAGGAGCTTTCCCAGGGTTGCCCACTTAGGGTGTTTGTAAAACGTTTGTACACTTTAATGTTTTCATTGGGTCAATAATTTCTAAGCTAGAAGTGGTTTTAGACTAAATCCTTGCTGCCTGGGAGGGTGAGCAATCGAGAGTGCTGCCTGGACCCCCAGGGGTTTGTCCCTCTGTCAGTTCTTCTTCTTGCACATCCCTTTGGCTGTCCCAGTTCTAGATTTCTATGCAACCCTGCCAGAGCACCTGAGAGCCTGCTGGCTGCTCTGCCCGGGGGTTTATAGCAGAACCGAGAGACAGAGGATGAGCATCTCCATCCTTGTGTGGGTCTGAACGTCGAGCCAAGTGAAATCCCTCCTATGATGGGTGCTGAAGAGTAGGAAAGCCGCTTGGACTGCGTGCTGTGCTTTTAGCCCCCCCTAGGATAACAGCCTAGGAGAAGGCTAAGCCTTAAGCCTAGGATACTAATCCGAGCTGAACTTGTTGAGTCGAGCCCCTCCAAGCTTGGTGCAGCTCTGCCGTTACCTTGCTGCATGACCTTTTTTTCTTCCCCCCTGCAACTCTATGACAAGGCAAGTGTTGTGTCCGCTGAGTAGGGCTGTTGTAGGAGTGTTTGTGACTTGACCAGTGCCATGACGATGGATGTGGGGAGCCTGGGCTCCCAGTGCCTGCACCCCCAGAGCCTGTGTGGGGCTGATGCTGAAGGTCCTCCCAGGTCCCTGGAACCGGCGGGACCTGCGGCAGGGTTGGGTGGCAGTGCCTGGCGTGCCGGCTCCGGGCGCTGAGCGGAAGGGGTTGAACAAAAGCACAATGACGTACCTTGGCTGCGTTTCCTGGCTGGGCTTTCTGGTCCCTTGTCGCAGGGCCAGGAGAACTGTTCATTTTTATTGCACTTTTAATAAATGTTGAATATTCTCAAGGCTTTTTTTTTTTTTCCCTTTCATTTTAAGTAGTTTGCTTTCTGGGAAAGTGGGTTGGTGCGGACACTGGGGCATCCTGACTGTCTCCCATCACCAAACGCTGCTGCTCAGGGCCCTGTTTTCATTGCTTTGAATCTTCCTTTTGACTCTACACGAGGGAGAGGTTCAGCTGTGTGTTAGCTAAACCTCCAGCCTTGGTTTCCAAGTACATGGTGAGAAGGGGAGGTGCAGAGGGACAGCCCCCACGAGGATGCTGTGACTGGGAACAGTGGGATCTGTGAGAACATCTCTGTGGCCCGTTTGCCACCGTACCAATAGATTTTTACGAGGCTGAAGGTGTTTATTTCCCCTCTCCCTGGCCCTTAGGTCTTCATCAGCGGGAGCTGAACGGTAACAAAGGTGCAATGACACACACTTGATCCCCACTATTGTCTGTTTGCTGGGCTGGGTCCCAAATGCACTTGGGGTAGACTGGGAAGTGCCTCCCCTGCCTTCAGGCTTGGCGAGTCACTTTTCCGAGAACACACTTAAACTGGTGCCGTGAGGGGCGAGCACGAGGGAACGGACAGGGTGATACAAGTGGGAATCCCAGTCAAGCCCAGTGCCTTGGGCAGGAGTTGTCATGGTGCCTGGAGCGGTTTCTGCAGCGTGTGGCCAGCGCAGATAATCCCAACACCGAAGGCGTTGCAGATAGAGCACACGCAGCAGCTTCCCACGGAAGCTTTGCATAGCAACAGACTTATTTCTACTGTTGCTTCAGCCTTTTCTATTTCGAATTGGAATTTCTGGAAAGGGAGGCTGGAAGTGTCTTTCAGCCAGCTGGGAAGAAGCAAAAAGATGAGCAGTCTCTGCAGCTTCTCATTTTTCAGGTCAAATTAGGTGAACACAGAGGGAAGCCTGGGACAACACCACCTAGATGGTAGTAAGTGAGAATTTACAGGACAAAGCTGTCCATGTGTGTAGGACTGTACAACACGGGGACGGACCAGAGTACAGACGTGATCTGGGAATGCAGCTGGACTCGGGATTGCTGAGAGAACACCTCCAGCTCCAAGTAAGAAGGGAAATGGGGAATAATTGCTACAAATTGACACCTTGCATTGTATAAAACATAATTTAATACATACACATATGGTACTCGCATACAATACTGTCTTACATCCATGTGTTCGAATAGAAAACATTTAATTGTAAGCCGCCTTCATCATGAAGACTTTTGTTAATCACTGTCAGAAGATCACTGCATTCAATAAAAAGATAGTGGAGGCAGCTGGCCTGTGTCTCAATACTGACACATTTTAAGATTAGGAGGGTAAAGCTGTCAAGAGATGGAACTACTTTTGTTTTGGCAACAGTTTGCCCCTGAGAAGTGTGAATTCCATCCCTGGAGGGGCAGAGTGATGCTGCAGTGTCCGTGTGCCGAACAGAGCTCACCCCCGCGTTCAAAATCCCTTTCCAGGTAGGGATGAGTGATTTGTAAACATCTTCTTAGCAAAAACGAGTCGAATGGCTACTCTGTTCTGTTCAGCAGCTCATCAGGGTGGTCCCCCAAGGTGGGTAGCGGTGACATCCATGGTTTGTCAGCAGGAGGCAGCAGTTACACCTCCAACATTAACACGATGGAAATGTTTCAAGTGTGTAGAATAAGGTTAATTTTCATCTGCTTATGCGACTTTGATGTGTCTTTACCCTCCCAATCCCAGCTCCTTTTAGGAATAATCATCCAGATTGCAAAAATAGCCCTTTATTCCTGGAGGGAGGGAGGGAGAGGAACAACACCCACGGTGTCCGACACCCGGTGTCCAGCCAAGCCAGCACACAGCCATGTGCCGCTTGGGGCGAACAGTCCTCGAAACCTCTCTGTTGCTCATAAGGCTCTGGTCTCCATGGAGAGTTTGGCAGCAGGATGCTGAGCCAGCTCCTTGGAGCATCCCTGGGTTGGAACCAGTTTGGTGGAGAAGTGCTTCAGCATTGCTCCTGGAGGGGGGTGGATGTGTCCCAGGGCAGGCACGGGAGTGTGGGGGTCTGTCAGCAAGCCAAGGGATGCCATCAGGGCTGTAGAGCCTGTTCCTGCCTCCCCGAGGTGCCATGGCGAGGGAGCCGACATCCCCTCCAGCCTGGTTGCTACTGGAAAGGTAATTGTGTCACGGGGGCTGCCGCCGTGGTGTGTCTGGGGGGGAGATACTCCGGTCTGCTCATCGCAACAGTCCTGGTGAAGCAGCGGAGGTTCCCCGTCTTCAGGGCGCACTGGACTGGCCAGAGGATGATGCAGAAGAGGATGATGATCAAAGCCGAGAGGAGCACGATGCGTTTCCAGTCATCGCACATGTCGCAGCGGGACAACCTCCCAGCCAACCCCGCCGGCGGAGCCTCCGGGCTCTCAGGTTTGCTCATGGCCACATCGATGGAGATACACGAGTCTGGATTCTCAGGGTCGTCGGATGACTCCCGGCAGCAGAGCTTGGTCCCTTCCATCCAGAGCACCTTCTCCTGCTGCAGTTCGGGGGGAAGCGTGGCCAGGAGCTCCTTGCTGGTCTCCAGGGCTGGGGCACCTTCCAGAGGGATGCTGGTCAGCTGCCTGCAGAAGGGGCAGGGGAGCTGGTCCTCGGGTTGGTTGTGGGGCAGTCCCGTGCTCAGGCGGGCTACGCACTCCAAGCAGAAAACGTGGGAACACTGGAGCAGCTTGGGGGTCTTGAAGGTGTTGTCGTAGGTGTTGAAGCAAATGGAGCACTCAACAGGGGATGCTGGCTTCGGAGATGTTGGGTTCGGGGAGCCTGGCTTGTCGGTTGGGGACCTCGCCTTCCTCTTGCCATCTCCTGGGGAGGTGACAACAATGGGGCTGATGGGGATGGGAATTTCATGGGGAGATGCAGGGACTGGGCTGGTGGGAGAGTCCGGCGTGTTGGAGTGCCACAGCTGCGTGAAACACGACATGACGGAGCCCCGGGAAACAAATAGAGCCCTGGGAGACTCTAGAAGAGAAGAAAACCACATCCTTCATTTTAAAAAAATGTGAAGACACCCATCACCACACCTACATTTAACCCCTTAAAAAGGAACAAAGTGCAAGTTCATGGCTTCCACTGCATCCTGAGCCTGGACCAGATCCCTGCTAGAGATGAGAACGCCACAAGTAGCCTGTTCCAAGCTGCAAACCAAGGATGAAGTCAAACATCCTGCAAAGAAGCAAGGAACCAGCAGAGATCCACCATCCAGCCAAAGCCTTTTCACCAGAACCACCACGGCGTTAAGAGTTGGGCGCAGTCTTTCCCAGTACATGCCTCCCTTTGGGCAGAAAAAAACCCAAAACACAACAAAAAAACCTACCCCAGCTGGTGCTGCCCGACACCTGAGCAGGGAGGAGAGCAGAAGACTCCATGAGGCCACGTAGGGACCTCGCTAGGGCAGTCTATTAGGCTGGGAGGCACTCGGGGATTATGGTGGCAGCATGAGCCAGGCCTAAGAGACGACAACAACCGTTCAGTTGGGGACGTAGCAGGGATCTACAGCGGGATCTGAACTCCTTCGTGTCACAGGAGAACCCAAGGGAGGGGAGGAAACGTGGTTTTCTTGCAAACTTTGTTCCATCCTCAGCCCCCAAGCAGCACGAGAAGCATCTCTGTCTTGTCACCGTGACACAGCAAGAAAAGCGATGCTGGAGGAAATGGCCTTGGGGCCAGAGCGAGGGGAATTCTCCACCGTTTCCTTGTTGCTCTGGTTTCCCTCGGGAAGCGCAGTTCTTCCCCGTCCCCAGCCCTGGAGGAGTGCCAGCGTGGCCCGAGCCTTGCTGCCGTCTGCTCTCTGCTGTGCAAGCAGCAGCCTTGGGTTGGATGGCTAGAAAATTGCTTTACAACTTCCTCCAGCCTTTTCTGCACCCTAAATATCACCCTGAATTCCAGTTATCCGAGGCTAGACCTGCACACATCCCGATATTCACCTATGTGACTTTTTCACTTTTACCTGCAAGCAAGCGTTGGGCAGGAGGAAGGTCCCAGCACCAGCACCGATGCTGTGTGCCTGGGGAACATATTTTTAGGATGTGTCACCGAACTAGCTCGGCTTGATTCTTTGTGCTGGGAGATTTACCGATGACAAGCCAGAAATGTTCAGATTGCTGCTGTAATTATAGGGCTCCAGTCAACCCAGCAGTGGCTCACCAGCACGGGCTGGAGGCTCCACATCTCGGCGTAAAAGGTTGATTTAAGGTGTCAGAAAGCCTCCGTGTTCCTCCCATTGCACAAAAAATCTCCATTATTTAATAACCAGGTATTCTCCCCTCTCCCATCACAGCTAGCATTGCCAGAGCTGCACCCAATTTTAAGAACCTTTCTTCTTTTTCTTCTCTTATTCTAAACAAAGACATTTTCGTGAAGCCTCTCCTCCTGTTAAATATTCAGTCCCAGACTATCTGCACTTTTCAGCAAGTTGTAATGTTTTTTAATTTTTTATTTTTTTTTCCTGGCTACAGCTCGCCGTGCATGTTTGAGCACAATCTGGCCGATGCTAATGAATTACAAATCCGAGCCCAAGCTGGCACAGAGCTGAAGGAAACCCCTGGTTTGTTTTTTTTTTTTTACCAAATCTTCTGTTTTGCAGAACTCCATCCCCTGTGCCCGGTTCTTTGCAGCTGCTCAGCTCGGAGCATTTGTCAGAAATTACGTGGCAGAAGGTAACTTCAGAAGGAGAGAGCCTTTGCTTACCTAACTGTAATCTCCTAACCTCTGCAAAAAGCTGTTCTGTCGAGGTTTCTACTCATTTGTAACACGACAGCTATAGCACCAGCAGTATTTGATATAAACTCAAGGAATTTGACTCACACCAGTTGCTTTTAAATGAAGATACACGCTCTTGCCCACATTTTCCCTTTGCTGAAGGTGATCGCGACGCTACAGATGCTTGTTAGTTGTAATAAATTTAGAGTCTACTTATTTTTCTCAACATCTTGGTGTTAAGTGGCACCTTGCTCAGATGGGACACAGGTAGGTGACTTAAACGGGGAAGATAGGAAGGGCACAGAGCCAAGGAAGGATGCTTTTGATCTCTCTGCCACCCTGGCCAGCTCAGCCTCTGCCTGCTTCGTGCCCCCTTTGCTGCGCTGCCACGGAGCTGCTGCTCAGAGGGTTAAATTGGGTTTGGGCAGCAGCTAGCACAGGGACCAAGACTTCTCCTGGGCACCTCTGCTGTACTAAAGGAGAGCCAGAACCTAGAGCTGGAGAGCCCGGTGAAGACATGCAGTGTGGAATCCCAATAGGATTAGTTAGGGTTTGGGGGTTTTTTTGTTTGTTTGCTTTTCTTTTGTTTTTTTTTTTTTTTTCACTACATGATCACTTTTTTTTTTTTTTTTTTTTAAATAAAAGACAATATCTCCAGTTGTTCAGCCCTCCATGGTCACACTGCACTTCCTCAGACCCTGCAGCTATTTACCTCGCTGACAACTTGGACTTTCCAGGAACAGGAGTCAATAACTACAGCGTTCAGGAGAGAGACGTACACTCAGATCTACAACTGAGTAGTTCGGTACTTTTTACTTCCCAGCAAGTTCTAGAAAGCTTCTTTCTACATCATAAAACGAGAAAAAAAAGATCGGATACAGTGGCCACAGTTAAGCCAGGGGCCAGCCCTATTCTGTGAAATTATTCCCTAATGGGATCTCTAATCAGAGCAACTGGATACACAGCAAGCTAAGAGGCGTACAGCAGATTAAAGTCTATAAATACCTGTTCAGAGTGTTGTTCAGAAGAAGAAAAGCATGTTCTGGGCTCTTGATTTCTACTCCTGAAGAGTCTTTTCTCTAGAGGATGCTCTTAGGCTCGGGGTCTTTTCTATTTATAAGCCGCCTTCTGCTGTTCCAGCTCCCCAGCAGCTCCCCGCGTTGTTCCCAGGCACGGTGGGGCTGGCGAGACCAGTGACTTCTGACAGCGCCGGTGCACGAGTGGCCCAGCCACGGGCATTCAAGTATCTTTTATAGCTTCCTGGCTGGAGGTGCTTTACCTGCTCCGCCTGCCCTCCCCATCCCCGCTGAATCACCCCCTGCCTCCCGCTCCAGCCGGTTCCCGGGACGCACCGGCCAGGCTGGAATGCTGCTGATAAGGGGCAGCACCCCGAGGACACCGCCGGGCTCTGCCCTGGGGAAGCCATGGGAGAAATGTTCATTCCTTCCTCTTCTCTAGACTCTGATAAATTCTCACAGTTCTTCGACTAGTTTTAAGATTTTTTTTTTTAAATCACTTTTCATCATCTGCGCTTGTTGGTGTAAATATACTCATCACATTTTCACAGGGCAGCAAATTTCTGGAGGAAAATTTCAGGACACCTGAAAATGGCATGTTCTCTTATTTCTTCAGGAAGGATAAATAATTTGAAAGTGCCTTAGGCTAAGGTTCTGACAGTCAAATTTCCTGTGACTGTTTGAGAAAAAAAAGTAATTGTTGCCATAGAAAAATCCGGTATAAATTTGAAAGCCTGAAAGCTGCAATCTGCTTCAAGCTGCCGTAGAATTGTTCAAAATAATACTGTACGGATTGTCACTGAGAAGAAATTTCATTTCTTTGCAGCTTTTAGTAGTAACTGACATAGAGAAATATTATTTGACCTGCAAAGCTTTTGTAGTTCAAAGGACACCAGTCCATGATCCAGAAAAAAAAAAGAACCAACAAATTTACGCTCACGTGCAGATAAGGAAACGGGGCGGGGAGCAGTAACAGAGAAACGTTTAACATTGCGTCTAGTTCTTATTTGTTGCAAACACTACTTTTCTTTGTTCAGTTTCTCAAAGAAAGATGGTCTGCGGATTTTTTCAGGTTGGTATCAGGAAGTCCCTTCTTAAAAAATGGTTGAGAAACTTCACTCTAAAAATGTACGGAACTGGATCAATTTCTACAGAACTGTATTAATCTCTTGGGACAGAGAAATGTCTAAATCCTGCAGATTTTAGTGGCAGTCAGATAGAACTTGCTTTGGCTTCCCCATTCCTCTCCTTCACATCACACTGTTCAGCTCTAGGGAGCTGGGAGCCAAAAGGAGGCTTTTCAGACCAAGAGCAGCATGTTGAAAGTTTTAGATCAGTTTTAGAATTAGAACTAAGGTTCCCTGATCCTCCCCGGCTGGAAGGGTCTGGTCTAGAGCATCACTCCTCCCGTGGATTCACGATGAGCTCCATGGGTGACTCTAGAAGACAACCTCCATGGAGAATGTGGGTGCAGACTGAACTTTCCCAGATCAGCATCTCCAGGGTGCAGGTCCCTGAGTGCAGGGCGCGTACTCCAGAGCAAAAACAATCCGGACCCGAGGCTGAGCACCAACACCAGCAGGGGTGCTGCCCCAGCTATTTATGTCGCAGTTCGGGATGAGCGAGGCTGGGAGCAAACACGGCGTACGGCTGACAAGGCAGGATGTTTGATGAAGGGATGTAAATCGAATTTTTAAAAGTCTTGTTGGCTTAGTCACTTGCCTAAGCGCCTTGGTAAACTGGGCTCAGAATTAATGATGTTTTAGTAACATACGTTACGTTCGGTAAGATGTTGAGGAACCAAAGTCCTTGTTTTGGGTCTAGCTGAGCCCCTCTGCCCTGGCAGTCAGTGGAACAACACTGATTCACTCTTCCATCACACCCTAAAGAAAGGCACGTGCACATTTTACGCCCTTTATCCACTGATGAGCCCAAACCGCCGTGTGAGCGGACTTCTGCCGTTTCAGTGTTTCTGACTCTGGTTTCCCATCAGCCTCAACATGACGGGTGTGTGGAATGGGTCCAGTCCAACCCAGCAGCCGAGAGCCTGGGGCAAACTGGGCCGTCCCACGCTCGCTCCTCCCTCTGCAAGGATGCGCCGGGTGTGCAAGGCATGGGACGTGCCGAGACCCAGCACCACAACGGCATGACGAGCAGGGCTTGGCTTCCAAAAGTGAGTGGGAGGCTTGCTGTTATTTTTATCTTC